CTGTTAGACTCACCGATAAAAAAAAATAATAATCTGAGGGTCTTGGGGATGCAAAAGGAATTAATTCCACAATCCAGATTCCTTCCTCCTTATCCCCATTTTTAGCGCTTGTGCCAACCTTATACCCAACTGGTGGGACTGGGAGAAGCCCAAACATCCAAAGAGCCATTATTCTTTGTCATCTTAGTTATTACCCATCCTGGGAAGAGAAAAGCCCCTCCAGAAACACCAAAGCAGATGGTCTGTTCCCAGTCTGTCCCTGTTTCCATGCTGGGACCCCCAGTTTGTGACATTTCTCCCCTTGCCCTGTCTGAGGAGCTTGGGCACGTCAAGTGGCCGGGGGCTACTGGTGGTGGTGCTGGGGGAGCTGCCCTGCATGCAGCGCTCCTGCCCGAACGCTTGGGGCTGGGATGTTCCCCAGCTGTCCTGGCGCTTGGGTTGAAGAGCGGGATTCAGAGCATGGCAGGAGGCAGGGTGGAAGCTGCTGGGAGAGGTTCCTGCATCCCCTGACAGGGACATCTTGGGAGGTTTTTTCCTCCGAGTGCGCAGTGGGATTTGTGTTGTCTTTACTTCTTAAAACTGGAGTTGTTGAAGGGCTTTGGTGTGCTTGGTGGTCTCCTTTTCTCTGTTTCTCCGTGGAGCAGTAGGAGCATTTCTGGGTTTTGCTGCTTGCCACTTCGCTGCGTTGCTGTCGGTGGATGTTGGAGGCGTCTCGGTGCTGCCCTGGGTGGTGGACTAGATGAGCATTAGAACTCGCTGGCGATGTGCAAGCTGGCAAATGCACCGGTTTGCGTGCTGCGATGCCTTTGGAGATGAATTTCACACACTTTGGGACTCACTTTCTAGCCTGTTTAGGGTTTTTTACCTTTTTTTTTTTTGGACAGTGACTTCCCTGAACCTCATACAGTCGGAATGCTGGCCAGTGCTCAATTTTGATTTAATTATTTTCCTTCTCTTTCTGTTCTAGGGCAGCGAAGCAGTGGCAGGAGTGATCGATCTTGGCACGGTAGAAATATTTCCAGTCTTTGGTGCCATGCAGAGAGGTCTGATAGATCAGGACACTGGCCTCATCCTCCTGGAGGCCCAGGTTATCACCTCTGACTTGGTTGTTCCAGAGACCAACGAGAAACTCTCCTTGGAGAAAGGTCTGTCAAGAAACATCATTGATCTCAGGACATTCCAGGTGCTGCAGGAATTGAAGGATGCTCTTCAGCGGGTGGAAGAAATCAGACGTGAAGGGAGGCAGCTCCTCCCTGTCGTTGCTGCGATAGAGGAGGGGAGGATCAGTGAGAGCATTGGGCTAAAGATTCTTGAAGTTGAACTTGTCACCGGGGGCTTTAGAGCCCCCCAGGGCAGAATCAGCATGGAGACAGCAATGCAAGAAAGGCTCCTCACCCCCCAGCTTTATTCCAGGCTTCTGTCTCACCTGGAGAGCAGCAAGGATTTGATTGACCCCAACACCGCTGAGAAGATCAGTCTGCCCGAGCTCCTGCACCGATGCATCGTCCACCAGGAGACTGGGCTGAGGCTGCTCCCAGTCAAGCAGCTGCCAGGTGGGATGGTGAGCTTGAAATCGGGCAGAAAGGTCGGCATCTTCCATGCCATCCAGGAAGGGCTGATAGACAGGCAGGTGACGGTCAGGCTGCTGGAAGCCCACCTCTTCGCTGGTGGCATTGTTGACCCCAGGACAGGGCACAGGCTAACCGTGGATGAGGCCGTGAGACATAATTTAATTGACCAAGATTTGGCGTGCACGCTGCTTATCCGGCAGCTGCAGACAGGTGGCATCATCGATACAGTCACCGGAGAGAGACTGACAATTGATGAAGCTGTCAGGAAAGAGTTGGTGGCACCAAGGATTGCGTTGGTGGTCCTGGAATCCCTCTGGTCCTTCAAGGGGCTCCTGTGGCCAGAGACGGGGGAGATCGTCCCGGTTTCAGATGCTTTAGAGCAAGGAATCCTGAGCACAGAGATGGTTCACAAGATCATCAGCAAGAGACAACTCATTAAGGCTGTCTTCATACCTGAAACCACCGAGGTGTTGTCCTGGAAGAAAGCAGTTGAACATGGCGTCTTGGAGAGAGATGTGGCAAAGAAGCTGAAGTCAACGGTCATACCCGACGTCATGGCCAACACGCAGCTCGCTGGCTCTCCGGGCAGAGGCAGGCATGGGCAGAGCTCTTCTGGAAGGAGTCCCACGGGTCCCAAAGAGCAAAGTGACCCTCTGCTGCGGAGTGACGACGAAAGGCTGGTGTTCCACTTGATGACCCACAGCTACATCAACATCCACGATGGCCAGAAGCTGCTCTTAGTGGATGGAGAGTTGAACAATCTCACCAAAGCCCTCATCCAAACCCAAGAAAATGGATCCCTGTTGGAGGAGAGCAGAGGCTTTGAGGAGACAAAGGTGGATGCTGCTCTTGAAGAAGAGCCCTGCAATGGCTTGGCTTCACAGGAGCTTGAGTTTCAGTTTGCTCCTTCAAAAGAACAAAGCGAAAAGGTCCTGCCACCTAGAACTGCTCTGGAGAATGGGGAGGTGGTGATAGGACCTGAAAGCCTCCTGGTGGAGGATGCAGAAGATATCCCGCTGGTGGAGGAGCAAAAGCAGGTTTATACCCAACAAGCCACCATCAAGAGTGAAGCTGATGCTAAATATGGAAGAGAGCAAGTAGATTCTGCAAGCAAGGACAACCATCAGGTGACTTTACTGATGCCAGGACATCCCAGCGACCTTGGTAGTGGATTCAAAGAAGCAAAGGAAATGATAATTGACACAGAAGAGTCCAAGCCTACCACAGTAGAAGGAGTTGAAAGTGTTGAAGATCAGAGGAGAGAATCAGAACGTGGGGCAGTTGTTGTGAAAAGCGAAATCTATGTATCGATGGGTGTTTCAGGAAGCAGAGGTAGACTGGAAATCACGGCAGAGAGGTCTCAGGGTGTGGAGGAACCTGAACCGGAGGCAGAAGATGTTAGAGAGATTTATTTGCTAAATGAAGAAATTATAGAGAATGGTGTGATGGGAGGAGAGGAGATTGTCCTCTCTAAAACTGGAGAGGCAGAGCAAACAGAGAGGGAAAGTGAAGCTACAGAAAGTGTATTGGAGGTGGAAGAAGGAGAGGAGGAGGAAGTATTAGGTGATGAGAGGGTTGCTGGAACGTCCCTGCCAGCCCCTGCAGAGCTGGAAGGAGAGGACGCTTTGGAAACGCTCTTAACGCAGCTGCAAAGCGGTGGCATTGTCCATGAGCAGACAGGCAAGACCCTGCTTCTCAACGAAGCCGTGGCCTGTGGAGTGGTGCCCAGCCACACCGCAGTGAAGCTCATGGAGAAAACCAAGATGTTCAGCGGCTTCTTTGACTCTCATACGTGTGAATCACTAACCACCGAGGATGTCATTGAGGAAGGTCTGATGGATGAGAAGCTCCTCCAGAAGGTACTCGCGTCCGACAAAGCGATAAGTGGCGTCCTTGACCCAGGCAATAACTTCGTCTACTCCATCAAGGATGCCGCTGCCGTTGGCCTTCTAGACAAGGAAACGGCAACGAGGATCTTGGAAGGGCAAGTGGTTACTGGAGGGATCGTGGACTTGAAACGTGGCAAAAAAATATCAGTGACGTTGGCGTCAAATCTGGGCCTCATCGAGCCAACAAGTCAGAAAGAGCTGGTCAAGCTGGAGAAGGCTTCCAAAGGGAAAGGCACTGATGAGGTGACCAGAGAGAAGCTCCTTAACTTACAGGCTGAGACCAGTGGAATCGTGGATCCTAGAACCAAGCAGCCTTTGACTGTTGCCCAGGCTGTTGAAAAAGGGCTCCTGGAAAAGGAAAAAGCTGTTCAGCTCTTGACCAAGCAGGTCGCTGATGGAGGAATCATCCATCACGTCTCTGGGATGAGGTTGTCGGTAAACGACGCGATGAAACATGGTTTGATCAATCAAGATTTGTGTAACGAACTCACAAAAGCTGAAAGTGTGTGCCTGCGGGAGTACGTTCATCCGGTCACAAAGGAGAAGCTGCCCTTGGCCCAGGCGGTGTCGTTAGGGCTCGTTAGTCTGGACTTCCAGAGGAAGGTGCAAGAAATCCAGGCTGGGAGTGGAAGCGTTTTTGATCCAGCTTCTGGCCAGAGATTGGCGCTGTGTCGAGCGGTGGAGGAGGGCTTGCTGCCCCAGCAGGTTATGGAGAAAGTCCTGTCGTCTCCAGAAATGAGAGAAGGAATTGTAGATCCCGAGACCTGCACCATCGTTCCCTACTCGGAGTTCCTAAAGAAGTGTAAGATCGACATCGAGTCCGGCCAGCGGTATCTGGAGGTCCATCCCTTCAGCGCCATCAAGGACGAGGCGATGGGGCAGAAGCTGAGGTGCGCCGAGGCGGTGCGGCTGGGGAGGGTGGAACCGGCTGCTGCAGGCACAGGTGGACAGTGGGGGGATGGTGGAGGGGACGGTCAGCAAGAGGCTGTCCCTGAGGGCTGCCGTGGAACGAGGGCTGCTGGACGAGGAGATGGCCAAAGTCATCGCCACCAACCAGATGAGGACCGGGGGGATTGTTGATGCGAGCAGTGGGAAGAGATTGACTTTAAAGGAAGCTGTTGAAAATGAACTGATTAGCCAAAAATTAGCTGCTGCTCTTCAGGAGGGACAAATATCTGAAGAAAAATATGGTTCTGAGGTCTGCAAAGGAGAGAAGTCCCACGTTTTCCAGGAAAAAATGGAGATCTCTCCAAAGAAGGAAGATGTCATCTTCTCTACCAGTGCTGCTAAGAAATGGGATGGTGCTGAGCATGAAGCCAGGTCTGAAGCCAGGAGCTACGACGTGGCTGGAGGTGCTGCCGCCAAGAGATCCCTGGTGACACTGACAGAAGGGAAAGCAAAACCTCAGGAAGCTTCAGAGGATGGTGTGACCCATCAGCCCCAAGAAGAGGTTGGAGTGACTCCAGAATCCCCCTCAGCGCTGGGCATGGTGTCGCTCTCCGCAGAGACGGTGGAGGTACGGGCTGTGGAAAGGGGGATGGCAGGAAGGAGCTCCCAGGTGAGAGCAGCTCAAGGGAAGGAATTGGGGAGAGAAGTAGATGGAGGGATGGAGAAAGTGGAGAGACTGGGATTGCAGGAAGAGCAGCTGTTCTTGGACACGGAGACGCTTCCCAGGACGGAGGACAGTGAGGAGAGGAGGAGGAGGAAAGGGTTTGTAAGTGCCGAGGGAGTTGTGGCAAGTGAAGAAGGTGCCGTGGTGGCTTCGGAGCAAGGAGAGGGGAGCCTGGACCGGGTGACACCCACAGAACCTGTTGTTGTGGGTCGAGGGAAGGGAGAGGTGGGTCCTGGGGAGTCTGGAGAACCCCCTGGGGCTGGCATGCCCACGAAGCCTGCGGGAGACGAGCTTGCAGGTGGAAAAACTGTTGGGTACATCGAAGGAGAAACCTTGAGTCTGGGTGCAGAAGGTCCAGTTGGTCAAGAAAAAACAAGTGAAACTGAGCTAAAACCTGGCCAAAAAGAGAAAAGCAAGGAAAAGAAAACGAAGCAGACGGGTATCCCAGGAGACGGCGCTCAGCTGGGGAAACCTTCTGCGGAAAAGCAGTCCGTCCCTTGTCCAATTTCCAAGGAAATTCCAGGGAAAAAGGAGGAGGAGGAGTTCATCTCAAGCATGCCAGAACCAAAATGTGAAACCACCACCAAGGTCACTCCTGAGCTGGCAAGAGACACAGCCAAGCACGTGGGGAGCAGCAGGGATGAAAAAGAAATGAAAATTTCTGAGAAAGATGAAGAAGACCTCGCTGGGGGTCAGGTGTTGCCTGTCCTCCCAGGGGAAGCTCGAGAGGTGGTGAAAGGTGGGATCAGAAATGGTCACGATGCCTCGGCGGCATTTATCCTGGAGGAGAGGGTGACCCAGGAACCCACCCAGCTGGAACCCACGGGTGACGTGTCCGGTGTGGTGGCAGATGAACCACCCGGGGAGTTGATCATCAGAGAGGAACCCCAAGAAATTCAGGAAACCTCCGCAGCCCTTGAGCCTGGAGAGGAGACGTGGCAGGAGCAGCCAGCAGAGATCAGCCCAGGCCAAGGGGGTGCCCCTGTGCCCCCCACGTCCCAGGGAGAAGCCCCCCAGGAGAGGAGCAGGCAGCCGGGTCCCGGCGAGCGGGGCTTGCTCTTACCGGTGATAGTGGAGGGGGAGCTGCTGGAAACCTCGAGGGAATCTGCGAGACCAGCCCAGGTAAATGGATGCTTTTTGCTATTTTGCCATTTTTTTAATGAGCTCTTTGTGTATGTTCGATGTTAAATCTGCCCGAGGTCCTCAGCACAGAGAACAGCCAGGACAAGAGCAGGGGATGTTGGAGCTCGGTGTTGCAACACCAGCGGCAGCGGGTTTGGCAGAGGATGGGGGATGGAGGGCTGGAAACACTCGAGGCTTAGTTGTGGCTTCTTTTTGTGAGAGCATTACTTACAAATGACTAATAAGTAGGACTCGTTTTTGGCACTTTAACACCAGAGGTCTCTTGCCATTTATAAGCTTTTGTTGGAAAAAGAACCATGTGTTTTGTTTTTCCTGTAGTAAATCTTGTAGATAAGGCTAGCGACTGGAAAGTCCCTGAGCTGGAATGTGATTAACAGATTTCTCCTTTGAAAAAAAAGAAGAATACATAATCCTTTGTTTTCTTTTCTGTCCAAATCTGAGTTTTTGCTTTCCTGTTTGGTTTTGTAGATCATGTTCAGCAAGAAGATGTGCCTGGAGCACGACGAGAAGCTGATATCCTATCTCTCCATGCTCCGAGATATCGAGATGAGAATCAAACGCGTGCAGGCGGCGGAGCAGAACCTGGCGGCGCTGCACGACCTGCTGCGGCAGGCAGAGGTGAGCCAGGCTTGGCCGGCGTTCGGCAGGACAGAGCTCATCCCTCACTCACAGCCCTTGCGCCTCCTCCCTGCTGCTGGGAGCCAGCCGGGGAGGTTCGTCTCGCGTTTAAGAGGAATTTCTATATTTCCATGTCCCTCCCTGCTCTGGCACTGCCTCCGTCTCACCTTCTCCTCGTGCTTAGGCGATAAGCTCAGCCTGGCTGGGATGGATTTTACAGCCTGGAGAAAGGGGAGTGCTGGCAGCTGAGCGGGGCTGGAGGATGGTGATGAATCTTTCCAGCAGATAGACGCAGAGTATTCGGAGCCTCATCTCCAGAACCTCTGCGGCGCTGTCGGTTTTGGCAGCGGGAAGATGAAGTCACCGTATCTCAGACATAACGATGGTGTCTTGCTTCAGGTGCTGGGCACTGAGCTGCGGGAGCTGAGCTTCCCCGTGAATCAGGAGTTGGACGCCGTGAAGTGGATTGTGGCCAACCCCCCTGAAGAGGTCCCTGAGCAGTTACTGAAAGCTTTGGAGAAGGATGCCAAGAACCTCCAGAAGTCTTTGAGCTCTGCAAATGATGTCCTGGAGTCCCGGCTGCAAAACCTTCGTGGGGCAGCAGAAACCGAGAAGGTAGAGCTGGGAAATGTCCCCTTGAGCATCCCAATGCTCCTTCCCCAGCTGATGCATTAAGTTATGCATTAAATGCATAATTAAATGATGTATTAAACAATGCATTCCTGGTTTTAAGGCTAAAATCCTGGCACATCACGAGACTCTCCAGGGCAAGCTCCAAGAGCTGCTGAGCTGGGTCTCTGGCACCGCCGAGTCGCTGGACGGTGACGATTCCCACCCCGCGACGGATGCCAGCAGCCTGAGTCGCAGCCTCCAGCGCTACCAGGTAACCGTGGCAATGCCCCTCATCCTGCTGCCTGGTGAAGGTGCTTTTAATCCTGCTTCCCTCCTGCAGCCCGGGTGGGTTTGCCCTTCTCCTTTGTTGCGGGAGGAGTCATTTGTTGCCACAATACACAAAGCAGCTGCTGCGGCTGTTTGGGGAACGTGCTCTAAATGCAGGTGTGGGCTGAGCAACGGGGAGGGATTCCCGTCAGGCTCTGCGATAGCGAGGAGAGAGCTGCTTCCTCCGTGGGGGCTCTGAGACCCCTGCCCTGGTCCCCATCGTCTGCACGGGAAGCCCAGGCTCCCCTCTGCGTTTATTCATCTTTTAACGATCGCTCTCGAGGTTTGGACAGTTCAGCATCTGTTTGCTGACAGCGCCTTGGCGTTGAAGTCAAGGCATGAAAGGCTTTGAGGGACAATGGTGGCACACGGGGTCACCGTGGAAGGGACAGGGCTGCTGGAGGCTGTGGGTCTGGGTCATCTTCAGGGCTTCAGCCCGACCCAAATGGTCTGAGCAGCCTCCTGGAGAGCTGCAGAGGAGCGTGAGCAAATTAATGTGGTGTCACCTCGATGCTGCGTGGGTTTTGGGGAGCATTTGGGGTTTCTGCTGTAGATTGTTCTGGTGATAAAATGCTTTTTTTTGCCGCTGCCTGGCCACGTGTCCCACCCAGTGCAGGAAGGCACTGGCTGCAGAGGCATTTTGCCCGACGGGTCTTTTTTTCTCCCGTTCAGGAGCTGAAGGAGCCCCTCGCTGACACCAAGTCTCAGCTGGACGCCACTGCCTTCGACATCCAGTTCCTGATCTCGGAGCACGCCCAGGATCTGACCCCCCAGCAGAGCAGGCAGCTGCTGCGGCTGCTCAACGAGCTGCAGAAAGCGTTCCGGGACCTGTCGGAGCGCGTGACGGCGCGGGTGGAGGTCCTGCAGGTCTGTCTCCAGCAAGTGGAGCAGACGGATCAGGTGAAGATCGGGAGCCATCTGCTTCCTGGCTGCGGTGTGTGCTCGCTGAAGCGCTTCCCGGCCACGAGGACGTGCGCTGAGACACCTCGTGTTTGGGATTTCCCCTGCGTGCCACTCACAGTTTGTGACTTCTCATTGCACATCATGAGCTTCCTCTAAAGTCTTTCTTCTTCCTACACTTCCAACGACAGATCGACTAGATTAAGTATCTGAAACCAGAAAATATATATGGGTGCTAACGAAATTAGAACGGAGATTTGGACAAAACCTAATTAATAGAAAACTAATTACTATGGAATATAATTGTGGGCCCTTTACTTGCACTTAAGAACCTGAGGAAATATTTGCAGGTACAAAAAAAAATAATCTTTCCACGTCATACCTGAGTGGAAAGTCACTTTTCTCCCCAAAGACGAAGCCCTGCCTGGGTGGCACCGGGCTGTCCTCTGCTAGCCACCAGGTTGCCTTGGGCTGGGTGGAATAAACCCTGGAACCCCCCCGAGGGCCGGCACAGACACCTGGCACTTCTCTTATTTCCACCACACAAGTCAGGTCTTGCTGTCCCAGGGAACACTGATGGTGGATTTTAAAGCTGGCAGCTGCAGAAGCAAGTCCTCTGGTCCCCGCTGCGTTGCTGCAGCACCGGCACTGCGTGGACCCCCCTGGTCAGGACAGGATTGATGTGGTTTTTTATTAACAGTTGCTCTCTGTATCTCTTGCCTGTCCTCTCTGGAGTGTGTGTGTATGTTAACCGGTTTGCTTTGCTTTTTCAGATTGAGTGTGCGCCCATCCTAACCCAGGAAGAACTCGCTTTGCAGCTGAAGAGCTCTTAGGAAGGCTCTTGCAATTTGCTTCTGTTGTTTTATCTTATGACTGGGAGAAACCAGCAGAGTGTTTTGCACAAGTTTCCGCATCACCTTGTTGAAATGCCCAGTGAAACTCAAACCCCCTTGATCTCCCCTGGCAGAGGGGAGCGGGACTCTCGGGTCACATCATGCTCAATTGCTCAAACCGGCCCTTCTGCCTTGTGCTCTGGCAGCAAACGGAGGAGCTGGATCAGCCGCAGAAACGCTTTCTCTCTCCCGAGCTCCCTCTCCAACCCCACGAGCAAAAAAAAAAAAAAACCCAGCCTGCTTGGTTTGTCTGGGGCTCCACGGTGGTGCTGCCTGGCCTCAGGGGTTGTCACCTCTCGTCAGATGAGTTTCCGCTGCAGTTTCAGTGTCTGGAAAGTTGGCCAAGGCACTGAAACTTCTGGCTGAGCTCTCCCGTGAGAGGAGTGTGTGACCTGGGGCGCAGCTCCACGT